AACGGCAGGGGAGAGCAAATCCCTGAGGGTGGAAGGCGGAGGGGAGAGGGGAGGGGGAGGGCGGTGGGGGCTGGCCAGGCTGTGTTTATAGAAGGGAACATTGGGGAGAGGCGCTCGCTTGCTTAGTTGGTTTATTACATCGGTAATGACTTCAGTAGCCTTATAAGGGTGTGTGCCAAAAAAAAAAAAATCCACCCCCCCCTTCCCTTATTTTCCCTCTCTCATTCCCCTCCAATCTCCCTTTGGCTTTGGCAGCCTCAGCTGGAGGACAGGAGCACTCTGGGGCTGCTGGGCTGGGGCCGTGGGGGCCAGGAGGGAGGTGGGGGCCAGGGCAGCTCCTGGGGGCACTCACCTTGGGAGGGCTCTGGCAGGGCTGTCCTGGAGCATCAGTGACACCTGGCAACTGCATTCACCAACCCGGTTCCTGGAGAATTTGAGGGACCAATAAAGATCAAGAGGCTCTCTGGGCAAAGGTCTGTCAGCCTCAGGCTATGAGAGCGCAGGCGAGCACGGGCTTGGTGGCAGCCTGGCCACCAGGGAAGATGAACACGGGCTTAGCTGGGATGTCCACCCCAGACTCAGATCTAGGATAGGACACTCTCGCCCAGAGGCCACCTTTATCTTCCGAGCTCTCGTTTAAAAAAGAGCCTCTGGATAACAGCTAAGATAGACGGCAAGAAGGAAGAAGACACTTCGGTGTGTGTATTATAGGATGCAATATCAAACAGTTCCTCAGTTAGTATGAAGAGACGAATAAAGCTGGCCCTGCAGGGACTGGGGTGGTGCTGCTCAGAGTAGACTCAGACTCTAGTTGCCTGTCCAGAGACTGCAGAGTGACTTCGTGCTCCCTTATACAGAGGGAGTTACTTCCCCACCTGCTCCTTCCCCTTCTGTTCCCAAGATGACCCCCCATCCACTTGTCAGCTAATGCCCTGGATCAGAACTCTATGTTCAAACCCTAACAAGCGTCTCCCTACATGGGTGGCCCGTTCTCTTAGTCAAAGTGGGGAGGGCTCTGATTCTTCGTGTCCATAAAACTATTCAGTCTCCCGCTGGTGCATGGCTGGCGGTTGAGGCCCCTCCGCTCCACATAGGGGGTTGGACCACACTTGGGCTCTTGGTGGGTTTACAGCAGATCACCCCTCCAGCCATGCAAGACTGCCATCTGCTGGTGTTCCTGGGCTCTGGCCAGCGAAGGAGGTTCTGCTCAGATTGGGGGAAGGCATCAGGGCAGGTCGGAGGGCCAAAGCTGACTCTCATGACCATGAGAACTGCACTTTATATAGTTCCCTCCAGCTTTCGTGACTCGCTGTCATTCTCCACAATATGCTGGTGAGGTATAGAGCACTACCAGCCATTTTAAAGAGAAATTGTGGCACAGGGTTTAGGCAGGGCAGTGCTGGGGCAGAAGGTCTCGAGGTCAGCTCTCCCACTCACTGTCCAAGATGTGGCTGGCTTAATAGCACTACAGGGATTGATGCGTGACTTAGACTCAGTGGACGTGTCCTGAGCTCTGTGAGGGGTTCCTTATACGATCCATCTCATTTAATTGTGCAACAATTCTGTGAAGTTGGAGTCAGCACTGTTTTTGTAGGTAATGAAAATGAAGCTCATGAAAGTTGAGTAATTTGCCTAAACTCACAGAGCCGCCTAGTGGGGAAAGAGGTTGGGACCTGGGTCCACTTGGATCCAAGACCTGTGACCTGAAATTGACCTACAGTGGAATCTGTCCTGGGATGTGCGGGTTTGTGTGTCCCTCTGTGCATAAGTGCGTATCAGCCGCGTGCATGGGTACACACTTACCGTGGGGTCTACGGTAAGGTAGGTACTTGCACTTGGAAGTCTGAGTTGCAAAATATGAGCACAGGCATAAGTCATGCCCACATGGACAGACATCTGAGCACATGTTCATGCATACTCTATGGATGTGTGTGCCTACCTCGCTTCCCTGGCTTCCCTGGCAGCCCATAGGGCAGTATAGGTTCCACAGGGAGTCTTGGAGGGCCTGGGGGTAGCTGGTCACCCCTCGGCATGGCCCTGGTACCCATTTCGAGCATGCAGAAGTGCTTTTTGCTATCTGCTGTTGGGGCCCCTTCCTCTGCTCTTCCCCATAATGCCCTCATGCTGCCCTGGGCTATGTCATGGAGATGCCTTCCTGGCTTCCTTAGCTTCACTCTCCTTCCTGTCACCCTCCTCAATGCTCAAGTTCTCTGAGGGCAGAGTCAAGAGCCAGAGAACTTCACACCTGGAGAAATTTAGGGATTAGGATGCCCCTTTATTCAACAAATAGCAATTAGGAGCCTTAGTTCCAGGCCCCAGAAAGACCAAGAGGCTCTCAGAGCTCCCTGAGCTCTGAACACCCTGAAGAGGGTGTTGGGTTGAGGCTTGGGTGGGTTTATAGAATAAGCAGGTGAAGTCATGTCGTGGGTGAGGCACTTCAGCTAGACTGCTGGCCAGGGTTAGGCTATTCTTTTCCCGCTTTTCTTACAAGTACTAGGTTGTGGTGCCTGGGTTGGCATGGAGCAAGAAGATAAGATGCCCAAGGGTTGTGTCTAGCCAGTAGCCCTTTTCGACATCTCCTTAGCTGAGTTTCCGCCTGTCACAAGGAGAACACAGCCCAGATGCAAAAATCAGGAGCAGACACTGACCAGATGGCCCTGCTTTACCCAGCCAAACCCTGAGGAGACTTTAAATGGTGGTAGCCCTGACCCTGTGCTGAAGGAAGTTGTATCCTCATTGGGAGGCAGGCAAGGGCAGCTGTCTTTTCCATGACCTGTACTCAAGGCTGGGAGCAGAGGCACAGAGGAGCCCCTCAAGGCTTTCTGCTCATCTACCCCAAGGTCTCCCCTGAGGCATCCATGCAGGCTGAGAGGAAAGAGGACGATGGAGACCCAGTTTATGTGGAGACCCAAAATAAAAATTTTTCAAACATTTCAGTTAGAATTTGGAGCTGACTTTTGGACATTTCCTCTTTTGGTATAAGAGGCAAGACCTAGGGGAGAGGAGGTGGACACTACCCACCCAGATCTACCAGACAACTTTGCAGGACAGATAAGACTGCCACCCCTGTCTTCCACCCTGAAAGGCAATCTTCTGCCCACTAAGTGGATTGTACCTCAAGGGCTAATGTGGGGTAACTATTTCTATAGCCATAAATTTAAATCTGCTGGACCTTTAAGGCAAATGAGAAATATAAGGGAGGGAGGAATAGACTAAAGTTGGAAAAGTATGTTTAAGCTTCATTTGGCACCTATGAAGGTCAGAAGAGACTTTCTCCTGAGCCCCACATGCCAGATAACTCAACCAGTGGGAGCAGAATCTGGGGTCCATCTTTGACAGTACACAGACCTGGTTCCAAACCCAGGTCTGGGACTGAGGAGGGGTCCCTGCTGCAAGACTGTGGGGCTATCACCCTACACGCTGCACCTCTCACAAACAAACAGACCTTTGGCCCCCACTTCCCAAGCCCTGAATAAGAGGCCACCCTTTGGTTGCAAAGCCTTGGATTCCACCCCACTCTGAATCATCCTCCTCTAGGATGGATTTTATATACAAGATTAAAGAACTAATTTCTTGGCAATTATAAACTTTTCAAACATTTCAGTTGGAATTTGGAGCTGACTTTCTGACATTTCCCTTTTGGGATAGGAGGCAAGACCGAGGGGAGAGGAGGTAGAAACTACTCACCCAGATCTACCCAACAACTTTGCAGGAACAGACAGGATGCCACCCCAGTCTTCCTCCCTGAAAGGCAATCTTCCCTGAGCCTAGGTCTGATTCCTGTCAGGATGAGAAAGCTGGAGGGGAACAAGGCCCCTGGCAGACCTGGCACACACTCCCTAGAACTTTCCACTGGGTTTCTCCTTCTCTGCTGGGATGAAGCCAAGGCCAGGGCAGCAGCCTCCCAAAGGAATGAAGAGGCTGGATATTTAGAAGAATAAGGCGCAAGTCTACATGAACAGGGACTCCAGTGCCATTCCCCAGGTCCCCCAAGTTCCTAATACACTTGAGAGAAACTCCCCCTGCCAGGCCATAAAGAAAGAAGTCAAAAGTGAGGGTTTAAACTTGGGCTCTGCTACTTGCCTTTGGGTGGCCATGAACAAGTCCATGACCCCAAGACCTCAGTTTACCCTGTTATTAAATGAGGAGAAGGCTAGATAACTTCTGAAGTCCCTTCCAGCTGGGACAGTCTAAGTTTTATGACTATCCCCAGCTGGCCCCAGACAGTCTGCCCACTGACCTCCCAGTGCACCCCTCCTCTCTGGCCTGGAAAACTTCCCATCACCCTTTGCTTTGCTACCCCCATCCTGCCCTTTACTTGCTCAGCGTATTCAACAGCCAAGCCTTTTCTCATTTGCCAAGACTCAGTCTTCCTTTTTCCTTCTAAATCCCATAAAAAGGTCATCTCCTCTAAGACGTCTAGCTTGATTAATCAATTTTTGTCTCAAAGTAACTACACCTTTCAAACAGACAAGCACATGATCAGTTTCCATTCTTTGTACTGGCTAAGTGTGTGCCTTTTCCCTTCTAACAACTGCAAAGTTGGAAGTGATGGTATGTGACTCCTGAGGGTAGGTCATAAAAGACATTACAGGTTCCAACTTGTGCTTCCTTTTGGATAACAGTTCTGGGGAATCCAGCTGTCCTGTCATAAAAACACTCAAACAGTACTATGCAGAGGTCCACTTAGTAAGGTGCTGAGGCCTCCTGCCACCAGCCGTATGAGTAAGCCACCTTGGAAGATTCCCCAGTCTTTGGCAATCTTTCAGAGACTGCAGCCCCTGTTGACGTCTTGATGACAGCTTTAAAATTATCCTGCTAAGCTGCTTCCAAATTCTCAGCCCACAGAAACTAAGAGTAAGTGTTTGTTGTTCAAACGGCGAAGTTATGAGGGTAATTTGTTACACAGCAAAAGATAACTGATACATTCCTCTATCCTCATACTTTTCCAACTTTAATTCATTCTTCCCTCCTTCCTATTGTTCATAAACCACATAACAGGGGAATAAAATCCAGGATGTAACAAGACAGAGATTCTGGGGAACTGAGCTCAGAAGAGAAGGTTCTTTCTTTCTTTCTTTCTTTTTTTTTTTTTTTTTTTTTTTTTTTTTTTTTGGT